TTTTTTTAGTATAATACTTGTGTGGTGTAGAAGTGAATCATTTACTGCTTGCAAACCAATGATGGTAAGATGATGTCATGGGGTAGGACTGGATAAGTCTGACTTCTTCCTACTCCATTCAAGCATGTACTAGGTATAAGCAAATTGATATTGGATTATGTGTAAAATTATGTGTGTTGTCATATCAACTGTTTACATGCTTGAAAGAATAAATCAAATCAAATCAAAAGACAGGGTTTTTTTCTACATCTCTTCTATATTTTTCTTTTCAGTTCCTTTACATCAGTGTAAACTGTGTTGTGGCAACTTTCGGCAAATAGTAAGCATTACAGTGACCCATGCTGTTACACATTGTCTCACCTGCTTTTGTAACATTAAGATGTTCCTTCTTCAGGACAGGTGCAACCTTTCTCTTGACTATTACAACCCTCCTTACAGCTCTTTTGGGTCTAGTGTCTGAAGTAAAAATGCATAAATGATCAAGAGTTTCACATAAATTATACCGAAGAAAGATATAGAAAAATATACATATATCCTATGCTGAACAAAGGACATTATTCACTCTATTTAGCCTTCTTTAGGCCCAAGTTGGATTTCTGTTGTTCCCTCCATGAATCACCTAATTATTAGTTCTAATACTTAAATACGGTACTGTCTCATGACATAATTCTTACTCATGAACATGTTTAGTAGGTTGATCATTGTTATTATGAACATGTTAGCATGTTGATGCTACCATCTCAAAAGGACCACTGTTCCTAAGTACAGCTTCACAGATCAACTAGCATGACTTTGGAGTCCATTTTGTTAATGGATTAAGTACTGTACATGTATACTTATTGAATTCTTATATTGTACATTTGCATTACACATTGCTGGCCTATGTACACAGTACCTATCTTAGTGTCTCTCAACTCTTCTTTAGGAGGTTTGCGTTCTTTCTCTGCTTTAGAAGGTTCCTTCTCTTCTCTGTCTTCTTTCGGCTGTGCTTTCACTTCTTTGGGAAATTCCTTCTCTTCTCTCTCTTCTTTGGGAGGTTTTTTCATTTGTTCCTCTTCTTTAAGAAGTTTTGTGACCTCTTTTTTTCCCTTAGATTCTTTCTTGGCTTCCTTTTCTTCTTTGAGAGGCTTCTTTCCTTCTGTCATTTCTTTAAGTGGTTTCTTGACATCTTTCTCTTCTTTATGAGGTTTCATAAATTCTCTTTCTTTCTGTGATTTCTTGACTTCTTTCTCTTAGATATGTCAATGTGTAGCAAGACGCCCATACTGAAAGAGGCACAGAACAATCACAAAACAACAGACTGCATCATTCCTGTGTCTCCCTGTAGTTGTTTTGTGTCTTTTTGTGTTTGTTTTGTATCAGTTTGTAGTCCTTTTGCAACTCTTTGTGGTTGTTTGCCTCTTTAGTCATTTTGCTTCTCTGTTTCTTGACTTCTTTCTCTTCTGTGGAAGGTTTCCTGACTTCTTTATCTTCTTTAGCAGGTTTCTTGACTTCCTTCTCTTCTATAGGTGGTTTCTTGACTTCTTTCACTTTTTTAAGAAGTTTCTTGACTTCTTTATCTTCTGTGGAAGGTTTCTTGACTTCTTTATCTTCTTTAGCAGGTTTCTTGACTTCCTTCTCTTCTATAGGTGGCTTCTTGACTTCTTTTTCTTCTTTAAGAGGTTTCTTGACTTCTTTCCCTTCTTTAGCAGGTTTCTTGACCTCCTTCTCTTCTATAGGTGGTTTCTTGACTTCCTTCTCTTCTATATGTGGTTTCTTGACTTCTTTGAGAAGTTTCATAATGTCCTTCTCTTCTATAGGTAGTTTCTTGATTTTTCTCTCTTCTCCTAGAGTCTTGTTCTTCAAGTCCTTCTCTTCCTTAAGTGGTTTTGTAATTTCTTTGTTTTTTTCAGATGGTTTCTTGACCTTCTCTTCTTTAGGAAGTTTCTTAACTTCTTCTTTGAGAGGTTTCTTGACTTCTTTCTCTTCCTTAAGTGGTTTCTTGATTTCTTTCTTTTCTCTGATAAGCTTCTTTACTTTCATCTTTTCTTTAGGTGTTTTTTTGACTTTTTCCTCTTCTATAGGTGGTTTCTTGATTCCCTTCTCCTTTTTAGGTAGTTTCTGAACTTCTTCCTCTTTAAGAGCTTTCTTGACTTCCTTCTCTTCTGTGGAAGGTTTCCTGACTTCTTTCCCTTCTTTAGCAGGTTTCTTGACTTCCTTCTCTTCTATAGGTGATTTCTTGACTTCTTTGTGAAGTTTCATAATGTCCTCCTCTTCTTTAGGTAGTTTCTTGACCTCTTCCTCTTTGAGAGGTTTCCCAACTTCTTCCTTGTGTTTAGGTGGTTTCTTGACCTCTTTTGCTTCTTTGAGTGGTTTCTTGACTTTTTCTTCTTTGGGAGGTTTGATAACTTCTTTTTTCTCTTCAAGTAGTTTCTTGATTTCTTTCTCTTCTCTAAGGGGCTTCTTTGTTTCCTTCTCTTCAAGTTGTTTCTTGACATCTTTCTTTGTGAGAAGTTTCATAACTTCCTCCTCTTCTTTAAGTGGTTTCTTGACTTCTTTCTCTTCTATTGGTAGTTTGATTTCTTTCTTTTCTCTAGTCAACTTCTTGACTTTCTTCTCTTGTTTCTTGATTTCTCTCTCTTCTTTGAGTGGTTTCTCTTCCTTTTCTTCCTCAAGAGGCTTCTTTACTTCTTTCTTTTCTTTAAGTGGTTTCTTGACATCAACCCCTTCTCTGAGATGCTTCTTCACTTTCTTCTCTTTTTCAGGTTGTTTGACTTCTTTCTTTTCCTCAAGTGGTTTTTTGACTTTCTTCTCTTCTATAGGTGGTTTCTTAAATTCCTTCTCTTTTTTGAGAGGCTTCTTTACTTCTTTCTCATCTTTAGGAAGTCTCTTCTGTTCTCTCTCTTTGAGTGGTTTCTTAACTTCCTTCTCTTCTTTAGGTGGTTTCTTAACCTTTTTCTCTTCTTCACGTGGTTTCTTGACTTCTTTTTCTTTAAGTGGCTTCTTCACTTTTTTCTTTTCTTCAGGTTTCTTGACTTCTTTCTCTTTAGATGGTTTCTTGACCTCCTTCTGTGCTTTGGAAGGTTTCCTCACTTCTTTCATTTCCTCAGGAGGCTTTGTTTTTTCTTCTTTGAGAGGTTTCTTCAATGGCTCTTCTAAAACGGTGTAAAAATGTCAGTTATTCATATACTGAAATGTATTCAGAGAAAACCATAGTAGTATACACCTATCTGTCAAGCTGACTACTATTTGCAGTATGTACGGCATATACAGTACACACAAATTATGTAGCAAAATTGTGTTGTGAGAACACTTCATATTTTGTATGTATAATCTACAAAATTGACATTTTTTATTTTTACATATCCCTATGATCAGTATTTAGTAATTTCATTATCAAGTGTGATTACTTTTGGGCCTCTCTAATTTCTTCTTGAGGGGTTTTGCTTCAGGTTTGGCCTCCTCCTTTAGCTCTTCTTCTATTTTTCTCTCTGTGGATTCCTCACGTTTGGCTTCAGTTTGTTTTTTCTCCTCCTTTTCGATTTCTGCAATTTTCATGTCTAAGCAACAGCAATAAAACATCATGAACACAACCATCAGGGTATAATGTGCATAGAGGAAAGTACTTGTTGTACTGACTGTTATCCGTTTTGTGTATTTAATTAGATCATTAACAAATGTAAAAATAAGTTTTGGGCATAAGCAAAGTGAAGAAGTTGCACAGCCTTCAAAGAATTACCTTCAATAATGGCATCTTTATCTTCTTTAAATGCATGTATTTTGCAAAAATAACACCACCCCCCCCCCCCCCACACACACACACAATGTATATAACAGTGCACTTCTTACCAGTAACTAGACCTGTATTAATTTCATCATAACAAATAATCATGCTTGCATAAGCGCTATAAGCACTACAAAGTTAAAACCCCTACAACCAAAAACACAGCACAGGTTAGATTATGTCATAATTGTCATACAATCAGACTTTTGAGTTTTAGAGTTGGACTGCAGTTCTGTGCAATTAAAAACCAATGTGATGTAGCAATATTCATTAATTATTTTCAGTGTTTCCTCTAGTCAGATTAGACAAATAAAATTAGTCAAATTCCTGTGTGTCCAGTACAGGGAGTAGTCAGGCATACAAATATTTTTCAGACATGGGAATAGAAGTCATTCTTAATGACATACTATACTTGGCAAGGATGACAAGGAAGTGGAATTATATTGCAATCCAAAGGTAAAATGATACCCACAGATACATCCAAGACTTACTGGGGATTTGTTTAGAGTTTGTATGAACAACTGGCATAATTATATGAAGATGGGACTTTGGAGCTACTGCAGAAAGGAAATTTTGTTTTTGTTGCAATCTAGCAAGATTTTAATGAAAAGATTTCTGTTTACTTGAACCCTTAATGCTCCATATTGATGATTAACACAGTGTTAACAACAAAGCACTCAAATGAAAATATGATACACGCTACATAACCATTGGACATTAGGCCCTATAATTTTAGTCACACCATAACCAACTGGTTAAAAGCATTTAATACGTCCTTTGAAAATATATTAAGAAAATGTTAAGATGATAAATGGAACCACAATGTCATTCCACATTGTGCATTTTAATTAAAACACCCACCATTTTATTACCAGATAATGGAAAGGAATGATGACAAATATGTGATGATAATGGTAGGAATTCTGTACCTTTGTCATATTTTTGGAGTTGCTGTTCTTCTTTGTGAGCATCTCTGGATCCAGCTCTTCTGAGCCCCTCTAAGGGAATTTGAACCTTCCTCTTTTGTTTAGGTTCAGTTTTTTTGTTCTCACTGTTGTCGTTTTCATCATGATCATCTGTGATGTTGGCATCTTCTTCTTGGTCATGAATGGGTGGTAAAGTTGTCATTTCATCTTCTGTTTCATCATAAGATTCAGGTACAGTGGCATAAAGCTTTTCAGCTAACAGAATTTCAAGATGAAGTTGCTGGACCGACGTCTCTTTTTCCTCATCTTCATTATCCACCTGAGTCTCGGTTTCATCCCGTTTTTCTCCTTTCTTTATCTCTAAAACCTCATCATCATCATCAAGGTTTAAACCCTGATCATCCTGATAAGTTTTTACAAATTGATCTTTGATATCAATATCAATTATTTCAATGCTTTCTTCATCAACATGAATATCTTTATCTTCAACCTCATCTTTATCGGCCTTTTCTGTTTTTGCCTCAGTCTCAGTTTCTTCCTCCTTCAGTTCGTTTGCCTCTTGTACTAAATCTTCAGATTTAGTTTCTTCCTCCTCCTCCTCCTCCTGATCCAACAAATCTTCCGCTTTGGTATCATTCTCCTCTTCTTTATCCTCCACCAGGTCTTCTTCAGCCTTGATCTCCCCTTCCTCTTTCTTATTTTCTTCTAAATCTTCTTCAGCTTTGATCTCCTCCTCTTCATCTTCTAATAAAGCTTCTTCAGTTTTTGTATCCTCATCTCGATCTTCCACTAAGTCTTTGGCTTTTATTTCCTCCTCCTCTAGCAAAGTTTTGGTTTCCTCCTCCTCCTCCTCCTCTACTACTAAACCTTTTTCAGTTTTGGCTTCCTCCTCCTCCTCATCTTCTTCAGTTTTGGTATCCTTCTCCTCTTGGTCTTTTACTAAGTCTTCTTTGGCTTTGGTCTTCTCCTCATCCTCCTCCTCTACTACCAAATCTTTTTCAGTCTTGGTTTCTTCCTCCTTATCTTCTACCAAGTCTTCTTCAGTTTTGGTATTGTTCTCTTCTTCTTTATGCTCTTCTTTCTCTTCTACTAGGTCTTCTTCAGCTTTGGTTTCCCCCTCCTCATATTCTAACAAACTGTCTGTTTTGGGTTCCTCCTCTTTTATAATATCTTCTGTTTTTGTTTTCTTCTCCTCTTCTACTATCAAATCTTCTGCAGTTTTAGTCTCCTCCTCTTCCTTCTTATCTTCCACCAAAACCTCTCCAGTTTTCTCATCTTTTATCACCTCTTCATTTGTCTTTGGCTTCTTTTCTTTTGCCTCCACCTCATCTGTCTTAATGTCTGCCTCTGCTTGTTTGTCTTCATCTTCCTTCTTTTTAAATTCTTCTTGCTCTTCTAAATCAGCAGCTTTCTCAGTTTTTTTCTCCTTCTCCTCTTGCTCTTCATCTTCCTTTTCTATTTTAATCTCCACTTCCTCCTCAGTATCAATCACTTCTGCTT